GACAGCTGTTTTCCATCTATGTTCGGCCTATCATCGAGTTTGCGGGCCCGACCTACTTTCCTTGCTATGCAGGAGAAATGCTAGCACTTGAGTCGGTGCAACGGCTGGGTTCTAGGATGGTTCCACAACTCTGTGGCCTTCCATATGAAGCACGTCTCCGAAGTAAAATATTGTTTTCTCTCGAGTACCGTCGTCGTCGAGGGGATCTAATTTTTCTGTTCCGCATGGTTGTGCTCAAACACTACCCAGAGTTGGATTGGATCATCATCCGACGCTCGGACCCGAGGCCACTCCTTCCGCCTAGTCCAGCAACGCTCAGACCATCTGCCGCAGAACTACCGGTTTTCCCGCCAGGTCATCAAAGACTGGATCTCCCTGAGTGAGGATATTGTCCAAGCAAAGTCGGTGCCCAGTTTCGAAAGTCGTCTTGATGCCTTTTTTGCTATGGCTGCGGATGACAACACCTACTCAACCGGTCAGCCGTTCCCACTTCCACTCGAGGATCGCCGTCCTGTTTGAGTTTATTTGTGGTCTTGAACTATCTTTGAAAAGACTCCGCCGGGCCTCGGGCCTTTTTGTCTTAAATATATTGAAGTTGAGGGCGTTCGCCTTTAAAACTCCTTAGACTTAAGGCACACTTAGTTCCGTCTAGTAGCAAACGCTCCATATTACCCTCACTGCTTTAAAATATATAAAGTTCGTTGTGTACAGAAAGAGCCGGTGTAGGAGGTTTGAAATCTCCGTCATGCGAACAAACCAAATGACCATCATGCCTTTTGTACCTAACAAGTAACGCGAATACCAAGCGAGTTCATCGCCTAAACGACCACAACAATCTCCTCGTCAACACTGCTAATTTGCCTTCTCCTTTCAACACAGTAAAAGTTGAACTATGTAAAGCATCCTCCAAAATCGGCACTTTCAGTCATAGGTATCATCTATGAATTAATAGATAACCGTAATTAAGTTGTCTGAAGTAAGGTCCAGCAGCGTCAATAACTTTCCCTGATGCCTATCGAGGGTCAGCGACCACTGGCTGGCTTATGAAAGGTCAGCCAAAGCAGAAAAGCATAAATGGATGCGGCAGCACACGGACACAAACAAACTGCAACCGCCACGGTTATAACCCTACAAATTGTGCCCGTTTACTTAGTAAAATGGGAACAATCATCAAGATGGCTGAGGTACACCCGACAAAGCTAGGCATCATATTATCCTCGAAACTCGCCCACCCCGATTATGGCAAGCATTAATACTACAAATATGGAGCACGGACAAACTAAATAATATCGGCGGTCTGTCAGCGACAGTGACCCGCTATCTACTCCGAACTGGAAATTAGAATTAAAGCACGGCCAGCCTATTTTTGTTACGACTCACAGTAGACACGAGACCTGCCGTCAAAAACGACTTTTTGCGCCACATGCACTGCAATTAGGCAAGCTGCATCGGTGAGTTGCTCATGGATTTAAATTTATTGATGATTGAACTAGACAACCTCTACAAACATCGGCCTACTGCCAAGAGGCAGGATCAAGCACTGAACAATCCACCCAAGTATACGTGTGGCATGGGTCACACCATGGACCGGCCTCTAAAGCAAACAGAAATGATGAAATGTAAAAACGCAACTCGCCAAGTAGTACAAATACTCATTGTCCCAAGTTAACCTCGATGAAGCACCCATAAAACGGCTTTCAGTGTACTAATAGTTGAAACGGGTACAATTACCTTTGAGCACATCCGCGACAGGATACCATAAAACCGGACGCACAGATATGACCATACACTCACCATTTGAGTGGATAGTCCGCTACCCAAACCGATAAGCAATCCAATGCGGAAATTGGACGCAAGGCTTTACGAAGTAAACACGGCATATACGCACTACGAACATGACCATTCATCTACTGCAGATAATTTCAGTTGCTGTCATGCGCAGAGCTGACCATCTATCAAATGCTAGACCTAGTGCTATCAATAATGTTGGTTACAGGGATAGGACAAGCTCAGACCATATAGCATTTTCTTGAGGTCCTTCAATGCGCCGCCATGCCGCCTTTTGCGCAACCGTAACGAGAAGCTTTGCGTTATGTTTCTTCCGCAGTTCACAATCTTGCCCATAAATATTTCTAAATAACTGGAAAAGATAGCGCCCGCCTCCGATCGCGATTTAGATTCAACAACCAAATCAGCACGAGGATATATTCAGACCAAATGTATTATCCACTTAATTCTCGTCTTCATCTTCGGTTTCTTCAGTCTCGAAGTTGAAGAATCGCAGCTCATAAGAATTCTTATTTGAAGCGATGACATGAAGATAATCCCGGAGATTGTGCCGCTTGAGGAATCTTTTCGTTAGATACTTAAGGTATCTGAAAGAGGTAGTTCGGAATAGTTAGAAATGGTACCTTTTCGAAAACGGGATAGTGGCCGTAACGATTATGGTTGACTTGTCACGATCAACGTGCACATCTCTGCCAAGGTTTTCTACCTTGCCCTGGACTTTGATATGGGTCTTCAAGTACTTTTCCTACAAGGAGATTGAGAGGTTTTGACTAGGGAAGGTGGCCCTAATCCAGCAATCAGATGCTGTCCTCCACCGCGTATAACTTACAAATGCAGCGAAGTCGATAATGTCCTTATCGATAACATCTGCAGAACACTGAATAGTGAACCTCAGTGGCTGCTTCTTCTTTGGTTGGGCCTTCAGATTCGGTTTTGCGGCAGGCTAGAGCACATAAAAATGACACAAGCAACTTACAGCAGCGACCATGACGCACGGGGACTCTTCGTGAAAAGCGCTAAAGTGAAGCGGCGCACTTAAACACTTGCACTGTTTCTTTATTACTGGCAAACGTTAGGACTCTGAGATACGCGTATTTCTGGGTCACTACCCTTCATCGGTCAGAATTACCTGACTAAAGTATAGCCGCAGAAACTGCCGCTACACTCCAGTTTTGAACCCGGGATCAGTGAGCTAGAGACGACCGTCCTATCCACTGAGC